ATAATACCACCACAACCCACAGCATTAATATTTTTAGAACCGTCAGTATTAAGTTTAAACCATCCCTTATCCGGCTTCTTCCAATAAATAATCCTCTCGTAGAAATGCTAAGAGAAAGGAATTAAAATAATTCCAAACTCACTAGTAAGGTTGTGATAGCCTTTAAAAGAATTAGGGGATAACAAATTAGCAGCAAAAAGCTGAGTCACTTTAAATTTCACTTTAGAAATAATAAGATTAGCTTCCATTTTAATGTTCTCATGCTTAGAATCATTCCTACTACTCCAAATAAACCAACAAATTAAAACCGGAATAATATTACGAATGTGACCTTTAGTAGCAATAAACCAAATTTTAAAAAAGTCGGTCATCGAAGTAATTTGGGAATGATTACTAAATTTAAACAAATTATCAAAATAAAGGCAAACTTTCATAGCAATAGGCCCCTTGTAAAAAACATGATTAATATCTTCAGTATGACAACAACATTGGCATTTAGAAACAATAAAAAAGCCTTTTCTAATAAGAGTAGAATCCACAGGAACGTACTTATTTAAAATCCTCCACATAAGAAAAGAATAGGTAGGAGGGATGCTAAGGTTCCAAAAAGCAGTAAATAACGGGTTGCTAGGTAATTGAGGTTTAATAGCATGCCAAAGCAGTTTAGAGTTAAATTTACCATCATTAGAACAATTAAACAGAATGCAATCTTCAACCTTCAAGTTAATAGTAGTTTTGCAAATAAGATTAAGAATAAATTGAGGAACCGTGTGCTCTAATAAATCAATGTTCCAACCGTCATGAACAATAAAGTCCTTGACCTTACACTTCGAAATAGAACAAGTATTTAACAAGTTATCAATGGAATAATTGCCCAACCATTTATCTTGCCAAAAGTAAATGTCACCCGCTCCCAACCCCCATTGAATAAAATTTTCAGCCTCCCATTTGATTTTACAAAGTCTTTTCCAATTGAGAGAGTCCCCTTGTTTAAAAGAGCAATTGAGCGGATGCTTGCCATCACAATACTTAGAATACATAAACTTTGCCCATAAACTCTTCTTAGCTCTAAAAGAATACCACAATTTATGAGTAAAAGTCACCACCATATCATTAAAAGTTTTGAAACCTAACTTCCCTTCCTCCAGCTTACTAGAGCAATTTTTCCAAGACCCCCAAATGATAGCCTTTTTATCACCTTTAGAACCCCATGAAAAATTATTAAATAAAACTTCCAACCTCCTACGAACATTTAAAGTAGGACATAAAGTATGAAGCAAATAAATAGGAATAGAGCTAAGCACATGCTTAATAAAAACAAGCCTGCTACCATAAGAAACACTACAGGAAAATCACCCACTTCCGGCGGCTTTTTCCGGCGGAATTTGACCTATTTCCGGCGGTTTTTTAATTTTCCGATGAAGCATATGATAGAGAAAATTCCAATTAAAGTTGTCATAAGCTTTATTGATGTCCAATTTAAAGATAATGTTACCGCCAACCACCTTCTTATTTAAGTCATTAATCAGCTCTTGAGCAAGCAAAACATTATCGAATATGGATCTACCTTTCACAAAACCAGATTGTTCAGGGGAAATAATCTTAGGTAAAATTAAAGCCAGTCTACTCATAATAATTTTAGCAATAAGTTTGTAAAAAACAAAACATAAACTAATGGGACGGAAATCATTCCAATAGTTAATATTCTAAGCCTTAGGAATCAGAGCAATAGAAGTAGCATTAAAATACTTAGGCATAGGAGAACCTTCAAAACAATCCACCACCACATTAATCAAATCCTCCTTAATAATACCCCAACATTTATGAAAAAATTTATTAGTAAAACCGTCAGGCCACGCAATAGACTCCGTGTTCATAGCCTAAAAATTATTCCAAATAATCAAAAAAGATTCGCTGGAAGGCTCGGAGCTCTTATATTGGCCCTTATGGTGAGCATGGTGTTGGTTGTAATTGGTTGTAATTTATTATTGACTTGGCTAAATTCTTTTCTATTAATCTATGGTGGAATTTTTGCATTAACAAGTCGTTATGGGCTGATTTTATGAATTCCAAGTATTGCAATAATGTGCACCTTACTAAATGTTTTTATAAGAAAGCTTAATTTATTGGTTGATTTAGGATTTGCAAATCAAAATGGATTGGTGAACATTTTATTCAATGGGGGATTGGTTCTGGATCTTCTTATTTTTGGCAAGATGATTGGATGGGGATTGATTCTATTAACGCTTTTTTTAATTCTCATTCATTGCTCACATGGAAAGTTTCCAATTTCATTGAGAAAGGTGATTGGGATGAAATCTTTTTTCTAAGCATATTTCCACTAGTGGTGAGTACTATCTCTGATATTCCTATCAAAATTTTTACTAATGACCAACCTATTTTTAACTTTATGCTTATGGATAATTTTGTACTAAAGATGAAGAAATATCCTTATAATTCTATTTTTCGCAAGATTTGGAATTCTGTTATTCCTACTTACATTTTGGTTTTAACCTATAGAATACTTAGTGGCTTCTTCTTTGTTGATGACAAGCTTCAACGGAAAGGTTTCTACATCACCTCTAAACGTCAATGTTGTCAAAATTTGGAGAACATTGAGCATGTTTCTCTTGATGGTCCAATCATTAACATTTGGTATCATTTGGATAATGCTTTAGATCAGATTAACGTGAATTCTTGTATTCCTGCTTGCAAAATCATTGTTGCAGAAGCTAAAGCTTTGTTGTTAAGCTTAAAGTTCTGCTTGGATCACAACATCTCCAAGATATGGATCCAGTCAGACTCTATGTTGTTAGTTAATTTAATACCTTCTAATTCATGCAATAATGCTTCCCTTTTTAACCTTTGCAGGAATATTATGAACCTTCTTAATAATTTTGATGATATGACCACCTATATTTAGAGAGAAGGGAACAATTGTGCTGATTTTCTTGCTAAAAAGGGGTTGTAGTTACATCCACTGAACTTTACTATAATTTAAGTAATCTTTATATCCTTAAAGGTATGGTTTTGTTGGATAAAAATTGATGTCTTCTCTCCTGAGTTTTATCATCTCTGTTGATTTTTTTCGCATTTGCTTGTGTTTTATTTGGTTTTTGGAATCCCTCACTGTCATCTTTATCTTGATGGTTGTTTTTGGATGGGTGGACGATTTGCATTAATGAGCCATTGTTCTATTTAAGGATTTGTAATCATTTTTGCTATTAACATGTAGTTCTTTAATAGGTTTTTACCAAATCAAAAAGGGAGAGTGAAACTGTTAGAACCAGCAACATAATCCATGTACGAATACAGGTAAAAGCTAGATTGTCAAAAAGAGAAATTACTTCAGGAATAAAATGTGGACGAGAAATATCCTACACCATCTTGGATGCATCAAGAATAGAGCTAAAATGATTAACAACAGAGTAGCAAATTTTATCCTGGTCCTCAGTCCACATATAAACTCGAATCAAGCTCATTTTTTTTAATGAAAGACTTAGCCTCTGCTTACATGAGGCCACCACATCAAAATACTTTGTAATCCTATCACCTATAGAAATAGGGCTGCAAACGAACCGAGCCGAGCCGAGTATGTGAATGTTCATGTTTGTGTTCATTTAATATCAGCTTGTTCAAGTTTGGTTCATGTTTGTTCGAGCTTTATTGCTCGTGTTCATGTTTGGTTCATTTAAATTAATGAGTGTTCATATTCGGTTCATGTTCAGTTCATATTCGTTCGTTAAGTGCTTATCGAGCTTGTTCGCGAACATATTTAACGAATTTTTTTTAACTATCAAACAAATACGTTCATGAACATATCTATGAACAAACATATTTATAATAAAAGCAATTGTCTATGTAACAAAGGCAATGATTATTTATATTTATTAATTTTATAGTCAAATATTAATTATTTTTGTCTAGCTTATTCACGAGTTCAAAATCGAACACGAATCAAGCTTTTATCGAGCTTCTTTTCGAGCTTAATGTCGAGCTTGTTCATGAACTTCAAATGATGTTGTTCGCGAACATAAATGAGCCGAACGCATTAGTGTTCAAGTTTGTTTATTTAAGAATCGAGTATTTAAAATATTGTTCAAGTTTGTTTGTTTAGCTAATTAAACGATAACAAACGAGCTTTAATCGAACCGAACAACGAGTAGCTCGTCGAACGTTTGGTTCGCTTGCAGATCTTTAATTTTAGCTTTTTGATGCCAAAATTCTTTCTCAAAAAAAAAAAAGATTAAATATTAATATTACATATCATGAAAATCATAATAATACCAAATTCTAAATAAAACAATTGCAAAGTAAATATGAATATTCTATTTTTTTAAAAGATTTCGAATGAAATCATGTTGAGCATTCATGAACGGATATATAGGAGGGGCACTAAATAAGTTAAAACTACAGTTATAAGCCTTAAGCAATGATACAAAAATATTTAAAAAAAAAATCGTCTGTTCACAGTAATAAAGCCGTTGGTGTGAGCTAGCCTCCAAAATGTTAAACGGGGCCACGTAAATATCTGTAAGTGTGAATAGAAGAAACTTATGTTTTTGTTTTTGCTTTCTAAAATTAAAGATAGGCAAATGACGATATTCGATTGGGAGAACAAACTACAAAAGCAGAATAGGATAGCTTCAGAAAAAAAAAACCTTTCTCATCATACCATGAGAACCTACTTTCAAAAAAGGCAACCAATGTGGAGAAAATTCGATCATTCTTTTATGGCAACGCTTAAAGTTGGTGAAGTGGTAGCCACGCGATTTGATGTCATAAACCTACAGGAGCTTTAGCATGCAGTGCAAGCCCTTAGCTATAAATATCATTCACTCGGCCACCACAGCTTCTCATCCAACATTCCTTAAGCCACAATGGCGACTAGCACTAAGTTCACGGTTTGGCCTTTTTAGTTCTTCTCAGCATTAGCATTGCCATTTCCTCCGCCGCAAGGTCCTTGAAGAACATTCAAGGCGGCGGTGGTGGAGGAGGTCATGGTGGTGGAGGTGGAGGTGGGTCGGGTGGTGGATTGGGTTCGGGTTCCGGCTATGGTGAAGGTGGGGGATTTGGTGAGGGAGGCGGACATGGTGGAGCGGGCGGCGGTGGTCATGGCGGTGGAGGTGGTGGCGGCGGAGGTGAAGGTAGTGGTGCTGGTTAAGGATCTGGGGCTGGGCAGGGATATGGCTCTGGGTCTGGTGGAGGTGGAGCAGAAGGAGGAGGTTATGGGAGTGGCGGAGGTGGTGGTGGTGGTGGCGGTTTAGGCGGTGGACATGGAAGTGGGAGCGGATTCGGATCTGGCTATGGTTCTGGATCAGGTTCTGATGCAGGTGGGGCCCATGGTGGTGGCTATGGAAGTGGTGGTGGTGGCGGTGGCGGCTCCGGTGGTGGAGGTGGAGAAGGCTCAGGTTCCGGATCTGGTTATGGTTCTGGTAGTGGATCCGGATATGGGGGTGGTGTTGGAGGTCTCAACTAAGCGCAAGACTACTTTATTAATAACACTTAAGAATGAAAAATAAGAGCAATCGTGGTTATGCACTGGGCTACCTGTAAGAGAATATAATGCTGTGTAAACGTTTCATATATGCATCAAATCAATATATATCTGTTTACTTATATTAGATAATTAAGATCACTACTTTATGTGCTTCTCTTAATGTCATCAAGTAATCTAGTAATCTGATTCTATATTTTAAGGTTTTATTTGCGATTGTTTTCTTAATATATTTCAAAACAGCTTTTAAATACAAAAAATTTTAGTTCAGAAAATTCATATACTAAAAAATTAATTTAAAAAATAGTAAAAAAAATTGTTCCAAATAAAATTTAAATTTGATGAAACAGCAACTTATAAAGTAACTGTGTTTTTCGAACTGATGTCTTGTTTAGCTATAGCAAAAAATAAACAAAAAATAAGGATATGAAGAGAAAACAACTATACGTTGTGAAATATATATTAGATGCCTTCAGGCTGCTCATCAAAATTTAGCTAAGGTTCTAAATTTATTTCTGTTTGAGATCAGATATTTGCTGAAAATCAAGACATGAACAACCTACTGGTAAGAGTTGTTTTTCCATGAATTTTCTACTGAGATTTTATGGGAAGACTGAAAAGCACCATGAAAATTATTCAAAAAACTTATCATTTATCTAAGAATACATACAAAATGGCTGCATCTATGTGTAACATAATTGAAGAGTTATTATGAGAAGAATTTTTTTTTTAAAAAGCTGCTATATATATGTTTATAAATTTTTCTCTTGTCGAAAAGAAGGATAACTAAAAATTTATCGCAAAAACTTTTAAAAATCATGAAATATGTAGTATTTCAACAATATAAAAAGCTAAATATTGAATAAGTTATCTCAAATGAACTCCAAATTTCAAAATAATCATAGGCTAAAAGCCGAATTTATTGGAGACTTATGTGCTTTTCAAAAAAAAAAAAAAAATATTTAATTTTAAAAGAAATTTTATTTTTAGTATTTTTATATTTATTTATTTATGTAATAAGTTTATCCGCCCTATATGAAGAAGCTGATTCCTCCCTAGATTGCTATCAGATCATAATCCAAAAATAAATATTAATATAATAACAGTAAGAGATATAAAGAGAAAAGATTTAGTAATCTTAATATAATTATGTATTATACTAATGCAAAGTGATAAAATTTTCATGCATAAGACAGCATATCTATTATTGGAAAGCTTAATTTTTCTAAAATTCCATATTGGAGGCTGCCTAATTACTTTAATTAGTCATCAAAAAGACCTTTTATGTTAGTTGCATTTCTTTCTTTGTTAAATTTGTACTTAATGAGCTAAGTTCTGCGTAAGTTTCAAATTAACCATAGACTGACAGGTCAAGTTTTTGGAGTCTTTTGCAATGTCTACTTGTCTAAGTAATAAAAACAAGCATGTTGCATGACTTTTATGTCTGTATTAACGTCGTCAGTAATATTTTATTTATTTTTTTTCCTTCAAGATTACAAGTTTATGAATTTCTTTATGACGTTTTTAAATCTCCCATGCTTAATTTAGTTTGTGTATAGGCTATGCATTTTTTTTTTCTTTTTTTTTTTAACAAAAACAAATTTATTAATAAAAAGAAACGGTTACAACATCAAGATGGCAAACCAGAAAAGAAAAAAGGCAAAATACATTGAGAATTGGGCTCAATATTTGGCCGAGGCTTCCAGCGCCCCATACGCCTCACACGGACCATCCAGTAAGGTGATAAAAGCGCCCTGTATTTGACCAACTACGAAAAGTACCAAAGGTTGCCACCAACAAAATGACGAGGACACGAGCCTCAGCCACATGATAGTCCCAACCATAGCGGAACACCACGGCAATAAAACAGAAAGAAGCATAACCCGAAAGCACATCAAAGATAACAAAAAAACAACAAGCTATCAACGTCTTCGACGGCCCCTTCCACGGCCCCTCCCACGAGAAACCATCGAACGACCTGGTCTAACACGAACAAGAGAGAAGTCATTCCCAGGGTCAGATCCCCCGCAAAAATTCGGCGAAATGAAACCACAATCCGAGTGCTCGGATTCAAATTCACCATCAGACGATCCATGCAACCAATCCACTTGATCCCTCATATCAAAACCAGAGTTCAAATGATTCACCATATTGATCGTTTCCACCATGTGAACCGGGACATTAACAAAATTATTGGAGCACATCGAATTCCCATTTAAATTCTCCACCAGCACACACTCAGCATTATTAACAGCATTCACGTCCGGTAAACCAGAGACAACAGTCGGTTCAACAGACCTAGTCACAACATTGCACAACTTCCCTTCACTACAGTTGATATCAACCGGAGACCTCAAAGGGGGTGAAACAACACCAACACCATTAACAGGTAAAACATCATCCCCCAACCCGATAGGCACATCCAACAAAACTGGGGAAACCACGGCTTCAGTGGACGAAACAAACACAGTTAATGCCCCTACCTCCACACCTTCATCAACACAATTCAAAGATTCAGGGGCTAAATTAACATCACAATTACCCATATTTGTTACACCGAGAGGATTAGAGATAAGATTCAGGATTGGAGAGATAACAGAATCAGTAGGATTCACTAAAGGTTTTAAACCGGCAACCACCGGAGGGAGATCCAAATTCACAGGTGGGCAGAGATAAGGAAACAGCTTAGAGAATTACGTTTTTTTGTGACCCACAGCCTTACAATGCTGACAAAAGCTTGGAACACCTTCAAAAACCACCTTTTGAACATACCCAAATTTCTCCGTACCTAACCACACTGATTCCAGGTGAGATTTAGAGATATCAATTTCAACCAGGAGACGAGCGACTGAGGGAAGCGATCCCACAGCCGTAGCGTTATCTGTTTGAATCGGTCGCCCAAAAACCGAACCCAATCCAAATAAAATTTTAGGAGAAAACAGGTGAGGACACAAGCCCAGAAAAGATACCCACACAGGGACGATCGGCGACTCCTCCGATAGGTCGAGGAGAGGCGACCATTTGATTATTTTCATGAAACATTCAAAAACAAAATAAGAACGGTGAGCAAAAATCCTCCCATAATCTAAATCAATAGAGAGCTTTATCAACACATTCGATTGATTTAACAGAGTGACCGAAAAATCACCGGAGAGTTTAAGGTTGAAAAAAATCTACGAATGGAATCCAAAACCTGCCGTTTCAGGGGAAACTTTCCAACCAAAGCATACTCGAAATGTTTAGCAAGATGCAAAAACTCATCTTCCGAAAACCACAAAGCCGGCATACCTCGAATGGTAGACACGCGACAATCCGGAAATCCAGCCGTAGCAACTGAACCTAAAAGCGCATCTTTGAAGGATTTGGAGTTCTTACCCTCAAGAAAACTCGGATCCAACCTCTTATTCGCCATGAAAACGCAAGCACACCGGGGAGAAGGCAACGGCGGCTAGGTTTCACGAAGGGAAAAACCCTAGCAAACAGCACTCACGAAAATGCATTTTTTTTATAAATCAAATGTGTTTGTGATCTCGGAATCAAAGACATCTTCTTTTGTGTATAGGCTATGCATAAACTTAAGCTTTAATGTGATCTTTAGTCTTGATGGAGGAGTAGAAAATAACTAGGGGATTTAAAATGTAATCTTGTCTTGCATAGACATATGGCGGTTCAGATTATGGAATCTTAATGAGATATTAAAATTGTAGTTAGGAGGAATCCTAGCTAATACTCTAACGATTTTCACAGAGACCATAACTTGTGCTTTGATTCATAGCAATATTAGGAAGAAATCTCTCTATTGCAAGCATGTACTTTTAAATACCATAGGTTCAGAGTTTTAAAAATTATTTCCATTATCTTTTATAGCTATAGTTTTTTTAACTTTTGATTGTATCACCCTTGATAATTAAATGATAAGATAAATATGTTAGTTTTATTATTAAGCAGTATTAGAGTAAGCTTAGGATAATTCTATCATGAGAATGATGCTCATCTCATCACTTTATTATCTGACACGTCACATGCACTTGCATAAAATATAGGAGTTACTTCACACCAAGTTGAATCCAATCTAAGGTATCTATAACATGCAATTTAATGAAATCAATATGAAGACATTTAATTATTCGGAAAAATGTACTTATCAATTGGCCTTAATTTTATTTTTGATGGATATGGCTGATTAACACAAATTCATAGAGGCACTATTTGTGAGTTTGGGTCCATTTGATCAATTTCTACAAAATTTTAAAGTTCTATGTACTAAATTTGATCTAAATGCATATATTATCATAATTACGCAGTTGGACGCAGACTCTGGTGGTACTTTCCATGCGGTGGCTTTTTAATTGGTTGTTTATATAACTATGAACAATTATGCCAAATAATATTTAATCTTAGCCTTTCTATCTAAGATCAAATCGCAAGGTTTAAAAGGATTATCGAAAACCGCAAGCTATCGTATGGTTGTATAAATGATGAAATCAAAGCTATCCAATAAATTTAAAAGAAACAATTTATTCTAATTTTGTCTTCCACCACCCACAAAAAATTGAGGCCATTTATATTTAGGTTTGATCCATGCATTTCATTCAACAATTTCCTATCCAATTGATCCAATAGGATCTCTGTGAGGAAAGTGTTCAATCCAATAGTTGGATCACCGTGGATTACACACTTTCTTCATAATATCTCAGAGCCCAAAGAATTTGCTTCAAGTTTGAAAATTACCTTCAAGTAAAGGGGAACTGATCATGATTTTTACTGAATTAGAGCCTTCTACCACATGGAGCGATCCTCTAGACATTGAGCTATGAAATTAACTGGATCAAGTTTGAGCTTCAGACATTGAGCTATGATAAAAATATATTTTCTCATGATTTATTATATTTTTATCATGTAACTTTTTGTATATGATATACATAAATTTTATGATCATTTTGACTATGATTTTTTTTTAATAAAACCCCAAAGGGGCTACG